GCTCCAGGGAGGCGAGGGGCGCCCCTGGGCCCGGCCTGGCGCGGGCCACCGTCCTGCACCCTGGCTTGGGGGAACGGGTGCTTTTCCCAGACTGCGGGGAGCAGCCAGTCACAAGCTTCGCTTCCTTCCCCAGCAGCTGCAGCGGAGGGCACGCCTGCTTAGCCAGTTTACCTTCTCCCACACAGTGGACCCCCAGAGCCCTCTTATCAGCTCGGGATGTGTCGAGATCGACTGAGAGATACGAGAGTTCCAAAAACAGAATAATGATGTATGCGCTCCTGGTAAAAACCAGAATACCAAGGGCCGGGGATTTAGCTCAGTGATTCCTCGGCCTGCCTGGCAAGCTCGAGGACCTGAGTTCGATCTCCAGTACCCCCCAAACCTACCAGCACGCCAAATCGGGTACTGTCTTATCTGTCAGCTGTGGAATTGGTAACAACAACAACAGTGAATGTAGATTTGTACAAAACAACTTCCCCAGAAATTTCAGGCAGCTGAACTGAATGTCACTGGTTTTGTGATAATTACCACTCTTGACATTTCGTCAGGCTTCCATTTTATTTTTTTCTGCTAATAACCTCTTACTACTGAAGATTAAATGTGGAAGTTTTTTTTTTTCCCCTAATGAACTGCTCTATGATTGAGTTTTTTTAAACTGTTGAACAGGCTGCTTGGGAACTGTAGTTCACACATAGTAAAATGCCTTCTGTTTGGGCATCCTTTGATTTCTTTTGGCCTTTCCAAAGGATTCTTTTCGGTGGATGTTGTAGAAATAATTAAAATAATAATAACCGAAAGCGCGCTGTATGACTAAATTGTTAGGCTTGAGAAGATAACAAGAGCACCAGAGAAACCCGACTGTGAAAAGCTTACAGTGGTGCTCAAAAATGATAAGACACTCAACAGATATCAACATTGAATTGTTTCTCCCACTGCATGACGAAGAAGGGCGGAGCGCATGAGGGGCACTACTGAGGCTAAAGCCTGCAGTCGCTAGGTGGGTGCTACTGCGGTTATGTAAGGCAGGTCAGCGTCTGGGGACACATTCGGCGGAATTCACAGGGTCTGAGATGTGAGCGGTACGGTGGCTGGCTAGGAGTTTTAGGCCTATTCAAATGGACCTTCACTGGTATAATGAAAAGAGTTAGGGAGACTGCAATATCAATTTGGACTTAATTTCACTTTGTTGTGATGGTGATAGGGTCGGAACCCACAGCCGCACACCCCTAGGCAAGTACTCTACCACCAGCTACATCCCACTCTGTCTCCCTGAGGACAGATTTGCACAGTGTACCCCTCTCAGGAGCCTTCTAACCTGGTCTTGGGGCTCACTTACTACTTTATACAGGGCTTCTGAGGACCTGATTGGCTGCCCTAATTTACTTAGAAAAAATAAGTGAAACTCAGGTGCTGTGCTCAGAGATTATGAAAATCACTCCATGAGAATTATCTCTGAAAATAAATATACTTTCACTTTCATGAAGCAATGTGATGAGAGTTGGTTTTCGCTTTTGATTCTAGCCTAGGTTACTTTACTATAAAAACACAAAGCGGTCTCCTAAATGAGATGACGGTCCGCCGGGTTCTCAGTGCTTGGGGCTGTATGGAGAAGCTGCCAGAGCAGTGCTGGCTTGGAAGGCGGCTTTGGGCCTGTCTGGCAGTTCGTGCCCGCCCTGTCCCTCCGGGCCTACCTTGCTGGTGTCCGCCTGCCTCTGAGACTCTCGGAGCGCATCGCTGAGGCAGGGTGCGTCCCGGGGAAGCTGCCCATTGGGCTGGCTGGTGCCGGTCCTCAGTCCTGGGAGGGAGAGAGCAGAATGTGGACAGGCGGCTCGACCGCCCTGGAAAGTGAAGCTGACCCACAAAGCAGCATGCCTGTGCCTTGCTAAAGCAAAACGAAGGGTTCCCCGTGAACGGTGGAGCTCAGGGCCTGGTGAGAAACCTGAGGCCCAGCTGGTGCGGCTCTGGGTTCAATCCCCAGCGCCGAATAAATATTTCTTAAGAAATCCAAGGCCCTATGGCAAAAGTTTCTGTGAGATTCAGCAAAGAGGGGAGACAGCTAGCAGCAGAGCGCACAGCGCGTTTAGGGCCTGCTGTACTTTACGCACAGAAGCAATAGACAGAGGCAAATTGTGCAAATAAATCCCTGGTATATCCTGGAAGTAGATTGTCTTCCCCCAAGGACCTGGCAGATACTTGCTTTGTTTTCCTTGCATTTTAATTTGCTCTTTCAACACAGGAGTGTCACTTATTGAGCTTTCTGGGTTGTCTTGTTTGTGCTGGGGTCAGAATTTAGGTCTTACACACGCTAAGCATGCGCTCCCCCACCAAGCTGTGCCCTACCGTTGGTTTTCAAAACATCAGACAGAAGGAGCTGCATGTGGGTTTCTCTGCCTCTTTAGGGGCATGCTGGGAACAGAGACTTTGAGAATTTTCCAACTTTTTAAAAAAATGGAAATACTGAGACTTGAACCTAGGGCCTTTGCATTGAGCTACGTCCCAGTCCTTTTTATTTTTATTTTAAAAATTTGAGACAGAGTCTCACTGGGCTCAAACTTGTGATCCTCCTGCCTTAGCTTCCCAGAGTTCTGGGATTGCACTCATGCACCACTGTGAAGTTTTCCAACAATTTGGGGAAACGACTGATCTACATAATCCAAAGAAGGCCATGAAAGACTTCAGGACACTGAGGAGAAGACGGTAAGCATTACAAGGAGTAAGGAAGTCAAGTAGTCTCCAAGTATTTCTCTACAAAGGCATGAAAGGAAAAATCTGTACAGGAGAGAAACTGCAACACACCTCGACCAAGTGATCAAAGTGAGTGTTGCCAAGAGGGGCAGTGAGACAAGGACACCTTCGACTGTGGCACCTGAGGACAGGAGAAACTCACAGTGCTCCTGCCCAGAGTGCGAGGAAACACACATACGTCTAAGCTTTAAGGTTAAAAGTAAATGGCTCTTGGGCTGAGATTTGGCTCAGTGGTGCTGCCGCCTTATAAGCATAAGGATCCGAGTTCGATTCCCAGTACCAAAAAAAAAAAAAAAGAAAAAAAGGAAAAAAAAAAGAAAGGACTTACAGGCACAAGAGGGCTCAGTGTACACAATCCTAGACTGAAGCAAGCCAGAAAAGTACGCCGCTCTGAGGATGTCATTGAAACCAGTGCCAAAACTGAAATGTGGACTGTGGTTCAGAGAAAAACATTCTACCAACGTTAAATATTAAATTTCCTGAATTTAAACTTGTAACTGTGGTTAGTGAGAAGACAGCCTTGTTTTTAGGCAATGCAAATCGAAGATTTAAGGGACAGAGGGGCAAAACTATTTCTGCAACTTTTCTGTCAGCCTGAAAAGATCCCAGAATAAAATGAAAAGAAATGAGTATTTGTATCCATTTCTAAATTTAAGAGCGCTGACTAAAAACATTTGTTTAGAGCATAAAGTACTAAAAAGCACCTCCACGGCTTCCTTAAAGGAAAAGAAAGAACAGCCATTTATCTTTAATCAGTTACTGTTGTTAAGTACTCTGGAGATAGAACAACACCTCAGTGTTTTGTTTTTCAGTTGAGAACCCCTCAGAAACATCAATCCCAGGAGGTTTCTGACTTCAGCCAGCAGCTTGCACCACTTTTCGCACTTCTCCCAGACCCCAGCTGGGAGAGGTGCGGGGAGCAGGCTGCTTTGGCTGAGGAGGAGTCAGGCAGCGTCCTCCATGCCCCGAGTGATTGTGCACTGCGGCCCCTCGTGGGGATGGAAGAGAGGCCCGGGGCAGGAGCGCCGTGGCGCACCTGTGTAATGAGTGCTCAGAAGAAAACAACTCGGCAGGAAAACAGCAGGGGACTAACTCCCTGTTCACAGAGCAGCCAGGCTGGTCACATCCAGGGAACATATCTTCAGAGGTGGGGTGTGGTCACCTTACTGCAACCTTCACCCTTTAGACTGGTTTTGCCCTTTGTGACAGTGAAGCTGGACCGTCACCTTGACTGGCTTGGGAGCTGTCTGCCCACAGGAGGAGCAGAACACACTTCTGGGTGTGTACTGGCGGGTTGTGACGGTGTGGCTCTGGCATCCCTATCTGGTCCCTCATCTTTCCTGACACTGCTCCCCTGCTGTTTCCTGGCCACCATGAATTAAGCATCTTGGCTGCATCAAAGCCCTTCCACCACGATGATTTTTGCCTTGGAGCTGACCATGGACCAAATCCCCTGAAACCATGAGCTGAATTAACCTCTCCTTGAAGTTGTTGGTGCTGCGTATTATGTCCTAGCAACAGGAAAGCTAACTAATATACCCTCTGAAGCAGCAACAGACACATAAACTGGAAGACAATAATCAGAACCCCTGTGCCAGAAATGGTTCCAGTTCTCTCCCCTATTATTTCTCATAAACATAGTGTTTTTGGATCACAGCTCAGCCACACAGAAGATGCTAGATGCTGGCTTCCTCAGCTGTGGAAGGGATGGTAATACATACTCTGCAGTCTGCTTTAAGAATCAGAAATAGTACATTCAGTCCTCTGTATCCATGAGTTCCACATCTGCAGATTCAACCACCAAACAAAAAAACTCGAGAAGTACTGCATCTGTACTGAACGTGTGAACATTTTTCCTTGTCATTGCTCCGAAACAGTATAGTACAATGGCTATGTAAAGAGCATTTGCATTGTACTAGGCTTTATAGGTAACTAGAGGTGACAAGGCATGAGAGAACGTGTAGTTTATACACAGATACTGTGGCACTTTTTGCAAGGCACTTGAGGGTCTGGTATTCAGGGGTCCTGAAGCCAACCCACCGTAGACCCCAAGAGACAACTGTACGTGCCAAGCAGCACACAGTACCCGCTCTCTGCCTCAGTGCCCTGTTCTTAAAAACAGAAATGAGTTTGTGTTATGTCCCCTGAAAGGCGGCGTCTAGCACCGGGTATGAGGCTCTGGAGCACAGCACTGCAGACCTCTCCCACTGCCTAAGCAGTCCGGGCACCGTGCCGGCTCCCCCCCCCGCGGGCTGTGCCTCATCCACAGACACCGCCGCTCTGTCACGCGTGGGAAACTAGATGCGGGGCGTCTGTGTGGTGCGGAGAGGCAGGGGTCAGGCCGCGCCACCCCCCGTACCTGCGGGCGGCTGAGCTGCCGCAGCTGTGTTGACGGTGCCCAGGTTGGTCCACCGGGAGGCGAGTCCAGCCCTTGCCACAGCCCGCTGATAGTTCTCGTACAGAGTCTTCCCGTACTAGGAGGTAATGTGGAAGAAGAAAGGGAGCTGTTCACTTCTCTTTCCCCACTCAGACAGGGAAAAACGTTCCCGGATCGCTCTTGTCACCCCTTGCCCAAGATGGCTCTTTGTGTAGTTCAGTACAAAAGTGATTATTTTTCACGTTAAATAATTTTCAGTTCATTCTGCCATCTACACTCTAGACGAGCTTTAGCCGAGCAATTCTGATCGTGTCTTCACATGCACTTCGACTCTATACAGATTCAGTCTGTGTTTCTCTCCCCTCCTCCCTCTCCTTTTCCCTCTGTCCTCCTTCTTCCTCCTCTCCCGCTCTTCCTCTCCTGTGCAGAACTTCGTCCGTGCTAGGCGAGTGCTCTGCTGCGCAGCTCCACGCCCAGTCCGACCTTGCACTCCTCAGTCGCACACGAGGCCCGCAATCCTCCCAGTAAGTACCTGCAGAGCTCCATCGGAGAGCCAAGCCTGGTTCCCGGGTGTGACAGGCTCGGGGCTTATCCCTCCCGCCTGCCCAGAGGACCTGATGGGAGACTGGGACAGGAGGAGATGCCCTCCAGGCCGGGCAGGCAGCTGCCAGGCAGGGCCAGGATGAGCGGGCAGCAAGCGAGCGGCTCTCACCTTGGCAACCCTTATTCCTGTGACCCACTGGTGGAGAGTCCTCGCGTCATCGCAGCAGAGGTACTTGATGTACTGAGACTCCTTCTGAATCTGGGGGTGCTGGACAGAAGCGATTTCAGACACAGCTTAAAAACTTCATTCATTAGCAGCTCAGAGAGCCTTTCCAAATCACTTTTGCTTTTTGCGGTTCTGGGATTGAATTCAGGACCTTGTGCTTGTGAGGGAGGCAGCAGCGCCACTGAGCTAAACCCCCGTCCCTCCAAATAACTTTTAGAAGCTAACAACCTGTGTGATTTACTGCGGTGCAGGCAAACATCACTGGTAGTAATTCTAGGTCCAGGAAAAGAAGTATTTTTTAAAATGGTTAAACTCTGAAAGGATGTAAGAAACCTGTTATGTGGTTTATCATAAGCACCCTAAGGGAATTTACTTAATATGCTTTTTTAGTTTTAAATGTCACAGATCTAATGCCTGCATGGATGGTGGTTTGGTGACTCCCAAAACTTAGTCCCAGGGTTATTCTGCTGCCAAGAACTCAGAGTTTTGCAACGATATTCCTCAACTGCTCTTTCTCATCCGAAGGAGCCAGCGGATTACAGAAAAATGTTTGCATCTGCTGTCAAGTAGCCCTGGGGAGTGGCCTGGGGGATGAGCAGGTCACCAAGGTCTCCTGGGAGCTCATGAAAGTAACGGAACGGCAGGCAGAGGAATGGAGTGGGGAACCCGTACTCTTCCGTGGGGTCCTCTGAGAGCCCCTGGAACCTGCTTTGTTTCTGACACAGTGTGTGCTCCAGGAGGGTCGGAACTGTTGCCTATCCCACTTGCGGGAGGCCCCAGACCTGCAGCACAGCAGCTATTTCAGAGTAATTGTTGGAAGAACTAAATACAGTCTCTCTCTTTTCTTCTGTCTCTCTCTTCTTTGGTGTTTTGGAGACAAGGTCTTGTTGTGTAGCCCAGACTGGCCTGGAACTCATAAGACAATTCTTTCTTTCCTTCCTTTCTTTTGGTACCAAAGATCGAACTCGGGACCTTGTGTTTGCGAGGCAGGCAGCAGCACCACTGAGCTAAATCCTGGGGCCTTCATAAGACAATTCTTACTCAGTCACATAAACTGCAGCCACAGGGTGACAAGGAGACAACCAAATTCTGAAATGCATGCCGGGTCAATTTTCAGGGATCATTATAACTTGTAACTCATTTTATTGTGTGGCTAGAGCCAGTGTGTGTGCCATGCACGGCACCACTCCTCTGTGCAATCCACAGAATAGTTTGTTAATCCAAACTAGGTTTAGGATAAGTGAAGGCGGCATGGATTACTGGGGATCCTGACAGTGAACTGGAACCCAAGGCAGGGTGCTTCTGCAGCTCTCTGCTCTTAGCGGGGTGACAGGCAAAGCCGGCCCCCTGCTGTCTGTGACCCACGGCTGCAGGGGCTCCTGAAATGACTGATTGCAGGGCTGATCCTAGCCAAGGGCCTCGCAGTCCTGAACTCCGGCTGGAAGCTAAGCGGAACCACCCAGGCTTGCGACCCTGTGGTCTTTCCAGGGCTCTCTCCGGCCGGTGATGCTGCTGTCCTGGCCCAGAAAGGATAGTGAGACCCATACAGACTGCAAGGGTGTGGGGAAACTTTAGTAACTTCTGATTGTACAATGGTGTAGAGAGGTTGCTATATATTTCTCGACTTACCTAAAATTTCTGTATTTATCTTGTGCCATTAAGCCCAAAATACCAGACTGAGGAGGTCACAGAAAAAAATCCAGAAGATGCAAATAATTCCTCTTTTCGGCCTTTTGAACCAACTGAGGAAAGACCACTTTTTTTTGGCACTGGAGATCGAACTCGGGACCTTGTGATTGCGAGGCAGGCAGCGGAACCACTGAGCCAAATCCTGGGCCCTACTCTCCTATCGTTTGTTTGATTTATTTTTTTTATTTATTTGTGCCAAGGCTCGAACTCGGGCCCTCGTGCTTGTGAGGCAGGTGGCGAAACCACTGAGCTAAATCTCCGGCCCTATACTGTTATATTTCAATAGGGTGCTTTCTTTATTTAGACCCCTTCTCAGAATTTCCGCCAGTTCTATTTGCTTAGGCATCATGATCTCTCTGATTTCTCTCTCCCACAGTAAAACAGCTGCCCCCAGGCTCTGGATCGGAGCTGTTGTTTTCCCATCTGACCAGCAGATGGCAGGAGATACTTTCGAATGGCCGCTGAAGCTTTCATTGTTCATCGGATCACGGCTTGCTCACTAATTCAGAACGTTCAGTTTTAGTTCTATAAATGTTGCCCCACTAATAACGTTCTTTGGAGATACTCAAAACTGGGAATACCTACCAACTCAGGAAATGCGTCCTAACAGAAAAAGGATTCGGGGCAGTAGTTAACCTGAAGGTCAGGCTGATGGAAGCGGGCATTAATAGGTGGAATGTGTCATTCCGGAAACACCTGAAGCATTCTCTTCCATGCAAAATCTGCACAGCAAAACCAGAACGCTGGTCTTAAGGGCCGATGACACAGCTCCCCACCCGGCAAGCTCTGTCCTGTCAGAGGGGGAGCCCTGGTCTCTCCAACAGTTTCATGTTTTTGTTGGTTTTAGGAGGGGCTCCTTTTCCCTTTCTGAGCTAGTTAGGAGGCTGCTTTCGCTACTCTGGCCTTACTATATTACTTTGGGGGGCTGCTTTTGATTTTGGTGCATAGCAAGTCAAATCTCTAAGAGCAGACTCAATTATGCCTGCCAGGAAAGGCACAGAGCAACTGTTTGTACAGGAGTATCCGTTTAAGCACCAGTTTCTTCAGTGTATTATTCATCTAACTGCTGTGAAATGTGGTGTTCTCTTAAATACAGTGAGTTTGAATATAAAGCAGGCTTCTAACGTCTCTTGCCAGCCTCAGAATTTATGGTTCTAAGATGAGCTCCCGATGGGCACGAGTCTTTTCCTCCTCCCTTCGTGGAGCAGAAACCCTTCAGGCTTCCAGGACACCCCAGAGCCAGGCTCCGGGCTCGGCCGCCAGCCCTTCCTTGAGTGCTTACGTCCCACTGCCTACTTCTGAACCGCACGGTCTCTCTCTTCGGGTACTGGCTGAAGAACTATTTGCAAAGGGATCTGAGGAAAATGCCAGTGAACCACACTCCTCCTCACTGAGTTCACTGCTCCCGACCCTAAAAACAGAAGCTTTCTTAAGACACGCGGCACAGCACATAAAGCTCAAGGCCACTGCAGAATGCTTGACACTAAAAGGGACCTTGCCGATCCTCTGAACTTACAAATGAGGAAACCAAGTGTCAGAGAGGCTGAGACATCTGTTCAAGGACAGAGGTGGAGGAAGCACCGTAACTAGAACAAAGGCTGCTAGTTCAACACATATCTCCTCCCATGAAGACAAAGCCGCTAGTGTCTAGGTGTCCAAAGAAGAATGAGAGACAGCTCACGGCACGGTCAGTCAGATACGCGCCTGTTTCACGATGTGGCTCATTTCATAACAAGAATTTGAAAACAGAGGTGCAGAAAGACGTTTTGAAGAACTAACAGGATGCTGTGACAGGTTTGGGGCTGTCTGGAAGACTGTGCGGAAAGATTCCGGGAGCCGAGGAGAGGCAGGAGCGGAGGGCTCCGTGTGACATGGAACTGCCCTCCAGGCCGGGGGACCATCACACACGAGACAGGAGCAGTCAGACGGGCAGCAGCTGTGGCTACGTGGATGGCGGGCCAGGCTGGTGTGACAGACAGAGGAGGGAAGGGGGGAAGACGGCGGAGAGGACAGGCCCGGGGACAGAGCTGAGTGAGCGACACTGACAGAAAGTGGAAGCAACTTTTGCCTCAGGTGAATGAGAAATGGAAATGCAAGGAATGTAAAGCTCATTTCTGTGTTCAGCCGCGTAGAGAAGTGGCTGCTGTGTTTGTGACTGCCCTAAAGTCCTGACCCCCGGTGCCTGTGCATGCGACCTTATTTGGAATGAGTCTCTGCAGATGTAATCCAGGTAAGATAAGACCATGCCAAATCAGGGTGGTATCTGAATCCAGTAGACTGGCGTCCTGATGAGAGCAGAGACCGGACGCCGCCCAGAGGGAGCAAGCTGCCTGACCACGCAGGCAGATACGGGCGACGCGCAGCCACCCGCCGCGAAACGCCAGGGACTGCGGGAGACTCCGGCATCTGGGGGCAAGGTACAGAAGATTCCCCTCAGAGCTCTCCGGAGGGAACCCAATCCCGATTTTTGAGTTTGGATTTCTTGTCTCCTGGAACAAGAGAAATAAATTTCTGTTGTTCAAAGTCACTTGTAGCGTACCACGGCAGCTCTAGGACGGGTGCACACCACGAATCCTGCGCGTCCTGTGGGTGGAGAGAAGGGGAGCCACTGTCTGCAGACCACGACCGGGTGCCCTGGCACTTGGCACGGGGCTGGGAAGGCGGGGAAACTGCTCGCTGCGGACTGAGAGGTCAGCACAC